GAGATCGTAACCCCAAAATCATTAAACACAAAAATATTATTTTGTACACGTATTCTTGTTTCTTGTTTTCAGGAATTTTTCGTGTTCACAAGAACGTTTCCAGTGCTGCACCAAGAGACACATCAACTGAAACACCTCTCATTAATTGCCTAAGGCTACTTGCCTTATCTAACAGATGGTTAAAAGCTGCTTCCACCTTCATATCCATATCAGGGTCTACAGGCTTCCCATCAAAACTATAAAGTGGGCACTTGTCTCTAACTTTATGAAGCACAAACCCAATTGGCATACAACAATGCCGAGTGGGTTCCCTAATGTGCCAGTTAAAACACTTCCACCTAAATCTGCAGCTACACTTAACCTAATTTCTCCCTCCATTTTCTTTGTATAACCCCGCCCACTTGCATGCTTCCGGCCTTCCAAAGCTGTCACCTTAAACCCAAAACGCATCATTTACCTGGCAGCAGCTAGACCAGCAAGCCAATCACCAATCACAATCACATGTGGTTTACTGGGCTCAGCCAGAATCTTCTCTTTAATAGCTGGAGCAATCCCAAAGTTAATATATCCATGTGAAACTAGATACTTAGAAGTAGATTCCAAAAGGGAATGGCAATGCTTAGGTATAGAATCAACAAACATCTCTTTCGTGACCCAATTCAACACATTTTCGTGCCATCTAGCAATTATATGGTTTCTAATGATAATGTAATTGACCTGCTCTATTCCCCTAATAACTTGAATTACCGGGAAATCGATTTCCTCTTCAGTGAGGGAATCGGCAGGAAAACCAGCCGAGAGGACGATCAGCGCCCTCGGCTGTGGATTCCTTATTGATCACAATAATCTCGTCGGAGATATAAGGCACGGTTCTTGCAGAAGAACTAGGGTTTCCTACATTGTGTCTAGTCGAATGAACTCAAATGGAACTAGAAGAAGAACCAAGACCATTACTGTTATCGTTCAAAGCGCCATTCAGAATCGAAAGCAGCTGAAACGACGTCGCAACGCAATGAGGCCTGCCTCGTCTTCGTTTCTTTGGGAACAAGAAAGAAAGAAAATGGGCGGAGCTAGGGTTTTCGATTGTGTTTGGAATTGGTGGTGCGTTTGAATTAGGTTTAGGGATTGGACATTCTGGGGGCTTAAAAAGGGTGTAGGGGATAGGAGGAAAGGAAGAAAAATCATCGGGGAATTTGTTTGGCGGATCCATGGCAGTCCGTTCTAGATGTGGTGGTGATGGTGGGGGCGGTAAGTTAGAGGTGATTAAGGAGAGAAGAAGGTTGGACAGTTTGGTTCCCGGGAAAAATTAGCACAGTAATTTACCATTAATGCAAGTCGCCTTTACCCATAGAAAAGTTAGTAGCGCCTGTTTGGTATCCTATTTGAAATTTTTTATCATTTCTCAAAATATTTCTTAAGAACATTTCTTGAAAACAATTTTTTTTAAGACTCAAAAACTTAATTGATTTGCGATTTAAAAATTTTAAATCTTACGACTTAAATTAGACAAAAATATCTAAAAAAAGGGGATCGCATGAGAGGGAGAAAGAGGAGAGAGGAGGAAAAAAAAGTAAGAGATGATTGAAGAAAGAGAAAGAAGAGAGATGATCAGACAAGATAGAGAGGAAGATAAGTGAGATAAAAAATCAAGATAATGAAGATAACGGATTGGAGGAGAGATGAAAAAGGTAAGAAAAAGAGGAGAGAGAAAGAAGAAAAGAGAGAGATAGATTTTGAGTGAGAGGAGAGGAGGGAGAGAAAAGAAATGAATGAGTTTAAGTTTAAAAACTCAAAAACTTACTTTTTATGTTTTTAGAGAATACAGTATATTTTTTAGTTAGTCTTAAGTTTAGTTTTTGAAAATAGTCCTACCAAACAAGTTTTTAAGACCTAAAACTTGAAAATTGTTTTTTAGTCTAAAAAATTGAATTCAAGTAGAGTATCAAACAGACTCTTAGCTTTTAGTTCGAACTCTATTGTAGCTTGAAGACTAATCTAACATCTAATCTAATAAAATTTATCATTTAACAAAAAAAAAATTTACTAATTTGTTTGGGAAATGTCCTTTTTAATAAAATTCTCAAGAATAAGCAATTACATTAGGGTAATTAATTATTTTAATAAAAAGTCTTAATCTCCCTCAAAAAAAGAGAAAAAAAAGTCTTAATCATGTGTCCTTTTCTCCACCACATAAAACCTTTCGTCGCCCTTCTCGTCCAATATAAATGTTTTTGTTTATCGAGTGAAAGTACATTTACAAAAAAATTCATTTTCACCTTTAACACATAACGCCACTTAATGTTTCAACTTCACCCCTTTATTTAAATGAATAAATGAAACTAGCAAAAAGAGAGCACACATTTTATGTGTATGTGAATAATTTCTCTTAATAATTATATATTTTGTAATATTACATAATTACTATTTTGTCTTCCTTATATAAATATTGTGTATCAAAAGTAAGGGTAAAATTAGAAAAATATGATTGTCATTATCTAAAAAAAAAAGAGGGTAAAATAGGAAAGATAAGGATATGATTGTTATTTTGTCAAAACATACAAAATTACTATTTTGCCCTCCTTTTGTCAATAATGTGTATCAAAAGTGAGGGTAAAATAGAAAAAAAAGTTGACAATAAGAGTTTTCTTAATAATAGTATAAATGAGATAAAGAGAGTAAGAGAGAACGTGGAGTGACGAGAAAGGGGAAAAAAGTTTATTTTACTTTATGTTTTTTTAATATTAAAGATATATTATAATCATATGTGGAAAAGACTTAAAAAATAATAGTAAATTTTGATTTGCCTGAAATTATATTGTTGTTTATGTTTTTTTATTTTTGTTTAGTTTTAATTAGAAGATTAGATTGATAATTTTATGAAGTTGGTTGACAATCAGTGTGACATCCCACATCGCCCAGGGGTGATCCTTATATGTATATTCCCATCCTACCTAGCACGAGGCCTTTTGGGAGCTCACTGGCTTCGGGTTCCGTAGGAACTCCGAAGTTAAGCGAGAAGAGGGCTAGAGCACTCCCAGGATGGGTGACCCTCTGGGAAGTTGCTCGTGAGTTCCCAAAAACAAAACCGTGAGGGAATGGTAAGCCCAAAGCGGACAATATCGTGCTACGGTAGTGGAGCGGGCCCGGGAAGTGGTCCCGCCCGGGCCGGGATGTGACAATTTGGTATCAGAGCCTAACCCTGGCCGCGTGTGTGCCGACGAGGACGTCGGGCCCCTAAGGGGGGTGGATTGTGACATCCCACATCGCCCAGGGGTGATCCTTATATGTATATTCCCATCCTACCTAGCACGAGGCCTTTTGGGAGCTCACTGGCTTCGGGTTCCGTAGGAACTCCGAAGTTAAGCGAGAAGAGGGCTAGAGCACTCCCAGGATGGGTGACCCTCTGGGAAGTTGCTCGTGAGTTCCCAAAAACAAAACCGTGAGGGAATGGTAAGCCCAAAGCGGACAATATCGTGCTACGGTAGTGGAGCGGGCCCGGGAAGTGGTCCCGCCCGGGCCGGGATGTGACAATCAGAGTCTTATTGATACAGTTAATCTCAGTTTACCATCTTGAATTTTTTTGGTTTTCAACATTTCATATATTAAGTTTTTTTTAGTCCGAGTTTGGTATCTAAAGTCATAATTATGGGACACTTTCATACCTCTGTTAAGTTAAGGAACCAATGACCGTGCCACGTGGATATTAACAATTTAAAAATTAAAAAAAATTAAATAAAAATCAAATCCCAATCATCTCTCCAAATCAGAGGAAAACATTTTCCCAAATCCCCAAAGCCGGAAAAAATCCCTTCTAGATCCTCTTTGTGGGGATCTAGGAGATCAATCAATCATGTCCATTCATAGTAACATCGTGCGGTCAGTTTTTGTTAGGTCTTAATATTTAATTTTAAATTTTAAATGATTTCTGACCGTACAATATACGATAAACGGACATAATTGATTGATCTCCCGGATTCCCACAAAGAGAATCTGGAGAGGATCTTTTTCCCCAAAGACAACAACCCTAATTTTCGCCATGGACCCATATTGTTACATCCCACATCGCCCAAGGGAGTGGATCATGTAAGCCTTATATGTATATTCCCATCTTTACTTGGCAAGAGGCCTTTTAGGAGCTCGCTTAACTTTGGAACATCCCACATCGTCCAGGGAAGTGGATCTTGTAAGCCTTATATGTATATTCCTGTCTCTACCTAGCACGAGACCTTTTGGGAGCTCACTGGCTTCGGGTTTCGTCGGAACTTCGAAGTTAAGCGAGTTCGCTCAAGAGCAATCCTAAGATGGGTGACCCACTGAGAAGTTATCGTGTGAGTTCCCAAAAACAAAACCATGAGGGCGTGGTTGGGGCCCAAAGCGGACAATATCGTGCTATGGTGGAGTCGAGCCAAGGATGTGGTGGGGACTCGGGGCGGGATGTGACACATATTGACACGTGGTGCCAAATCATTATCTACTTAGGCGTCACGTCATTATTTAATAGCTGACTTAACCGCAACCTTAACGAAATTACAAAACTGTGCTGAAATTTTGACTTTAGGTACCACTCTGGGATAAAAAAACTTGATATACCAAATGTTGAAAACCAAAAAACTTGAGGGTAATAAACTGAGATTAACTCTTATTAATATGTAGTTTTGATTAATTGTTTCATGTTTAGATTATATTAAGAGGTAATTGTAGTAATGATTATCAATTTTAACTTAATTGGAGTAATAGTCATCAACTAAAAATACATGACCATTGGTTATTTAACTCATCAAAACTGATTAAATTGTAAAAATTTTATTAATTTTTGGCTAAATTACCTAAAATAAAATTGCTATTTCATTATTTTCTCCATAACCAAAATTTACCATTCATTCTAAGTACGATCCGACCCGTCAATATCCAAATATTCCATATTTACCTAATAAAATAATAATAATAAATAAGAAAGTCGGTTGAAAGCTGCAGGCGTGTCGTTCTTTCGTACTTTTCTTCGTCAACCTCTTCGTTTCCGGCAAACCATCGATCCAGTTGGCCTCTGCGCACCACCGTCGCATTCCAATCCGCTGCCACGAGCTCCGACCTCCAATACGCCTCCGACTCCGACGACCCGATCCATATCTAGCTCCAGACCCTACCCTACCCCAAATCCCAGCTCCAAAGCACTCTTCACTTCTCCACTAATCTCCCATTCAATTGACTTCCGTCCGAACACAGTTCTGCATCTACAGGACGACGCCGTTTTCCGTTCAAGATTCGATTACGAACATTGCCGCCTCAATAATAGGTGATCATTTGATTTTTTCAATGAATTTCACTGTTCATTTTTTCAATGATTATATAATTGAATCTGTTATTGGTTTGTTGGAAGCTTAGGTCTTCCTTTTGCCCGTAATTTCTTTGGCTTCGGTGTTCTTCGTACTGGATCTAGAGGTAATATTTGTTTCCAATCTTTACTTTCTGTATGGTTGCTGAGAAAGTTGTGGGGAACATAAAAAATGAATGGAAAGTTTGAAGTGTTGCTGCTTATGTTGCGTTTTTAGTTTTTGGGTAGTTTAATATTCAACTCGAACATGCATAGTAGTTGTCTCGAGCTCAGTTGAAGATATTCCACTTCGATGTCTAGGAGATATTGCATATGGATTTTGGAATTGGAATTTTTATAATGCCATATTCGGTTGCTCGAATTTTGTCGAAAGATTAGGAAAGAAGTTAATTTGAATTGGAATTTACTTTATTGGTTGTTTAGTTGAAAAAGAAAAGCTAAATATTTTAGTTTAACAAAGTATTATTGAAGATGGCTTATATGAATTTCTCATTCCGTCCTTATTAATTGAAAAAAACCATCCCTTTATTTCCAGTTGGGGATAAGCTGGAATGAGTTGAGTTGTACAGCTCCGCCGAGGTAAAAGCTCACTATGGGACTTTTTGATGGATTGCCCGTGTCTCGAGACAAGGCAGTAAGTTCAAGTCACTTATCTTACTACACCTGTTAATGACTATATATTTGGTTGTTTGCAATGGATATGGAGCTCACATTCCATTTCTCTGGCAAGGGCGTTTGGCGGTGCAGGTGTCTTGGTAGGAATTGCAATTCGTAAAAGGGTTCTGCATAATATTAACTTTTGACTGTATAGAGTTGGTTCTATTTTCATTATTCTTGAAATGTCTTCAGAATTCACAAGACATGTTCTTTATTCGATTGTAAATAAAAGTTGCATGCTTTAGCTGCTAGAAACTTAGTGCTTTATTTTTTTGCTGTTGGTGCATATTTCTCATTTCAGAGTTCTGATGAACATATCTGATTTGACTTCAATAAGGAAAAGATTCTTGCTAAAAATTTGATTGACGAAAACGTGTTGTGTCATCAATTCATAGATGTTTACTGTTTGCTGTAGGCTTAAATTTATACCTGCCATAATGCTACTTGTCAATTACAAAAATGGGGTTTACTATAATTTGCAAGTTTGACTTGATCCCAACACTACTTGTTTTCTGAGGATGCAGTTTATCTGGAAAACACCCTGTTTCACTTCATCTTATTTGTTTGCTTTTTTTTTTTGTTGTGACAAATTGGTCTTTTGTGTATGCTTCCTGCACACCCAGTTTCACCCCTTTGGCATGCCTTAAATAAAATTAGGTAATAAAAAAAATGTCGTACACACTATAAAAGGTGAAAATCCTTAGTTTTCTTCAGTAAAACTGGAAGGAACAGTTTATTAGTGATTCTAAATTGAAAAATAATCTGAGGAAAAAGTTTATGGATTCCACGTTGTAATAACTATACTTATCAGAAAAAGAGCTGTAGGTTTTTATATGTTCATGCCTGGCACTCTGGTAGAATTTCGACTCCCTCTGGATTTTGCTCTTTAATGCATCTGGCAATAGACTGAGGGCCTGTTTGGAACTGCTTTTAAATTGATTGAAAGCGCTTTTAGAGAAAATGTTTTTGTGTTCCAAAAGCACTTAAAATGCTTTCTGCAAGAAGAAACAGTTATTTGATTCTTGGATATGAAGAAATAAAGTGCTTTTTTAGGATTCAATTGTAATTTTACCAAGGATTGGTTCCAAAATTATTTTCACCAAAAGTGCTTTCAGCCATTTTAAAAGCACTTCCAAACGAGCCCTAAACTTAGCAAATAGAGAATAACTAGAAACACACAAGTTTTATACTGGCTCCGTAGAACCTTTGCCTACATTCAGTTGTGATTTCTCTGGGTTGAGAAATCATGGCTTCTTTGAATTAATAATAGAGTAAACAGTGCTTTTGTAAACCATAGAACTAATCCCTCTCTTTCTCTTGGTTGTCTCTCTGTTCTCTCTTGTATTTATTGGGTGCGTCTGACCCACCTATTTACTTATTAAGTCTCCCAATCTATTTGGGAAAGCACACTTGCATTCCTATTCTGTTTCTGCTTTTAGAATTCCTAATCTAATTGTACAAGAAAACTTAATTCTTTCCTAATCATGGTAGGACAAGAATCTGTGCACCTTTAACTTTCCTAATACAATCCTAAACAAAATAGGACTCTTAACAAATGACGAACCAAATCCTAACACACTTCTGATAATGTTACAATATTGAAACAATAACAATAAGCTTATGAGGTAAAAGTCTTTTACATACAGAGAATTCACTGTAATATCTAGAAGCATGGACCAGCATATGAAAACAATAATTTAATACAGTGTTTAAACTTTAGCATGCATGCTTTGTTATGCATAGTGCTTCTTGATGTTACCTTCTCAATTTTTCTTCTGTCATCATGGTAATTTCAGTATCTGAGGGAAGAGATTGCAAAGATAGATGAGAGCTGGGCTGCTGCTCGTTTTGATTCATTACCTCATGTTGTTCGTATTTTGACGTCCAAAGATCGTGAAGGTGAAGTCCAGTTTCTGAAGGAGCAAAGTGATGTTGTTGAGGAGGTTGTGGATGAAGTTGTGCATAATTATCACAGTGGCTTCAATAAAGCAATTCAAAATTATTCTCAGGTCTTGTATATCTTTCTGGATAAGAATATTTAATCTATTTGTCCATTTTTTTCTTTAATCTTTTTCAATTTTATATATTTTTAGCATCCATGGTGATATAAGAAACTGAATCTTGTGGGTGCTCCAATAATTCATCTGTTTTCTGACAAAAAAAAATATTTATCAAAATGTTTTGCTTTGAAAATGCTAGTGTTTTAATGGTTTTTTTGTTTCTGATTTTGGGGGAAGTGGACGGTTGTCAAAAACAAGAGTTGACTCTTGCATACTACTATCTCACTCTACTCAATTCTTTCCAGATCTTGCGGTTGTTCAGCGAATCTACTCAAAGTGTTGGTGTCCTGAAGGTTGATTTGGCTGAAGCAAAGAAGCGTCTCAGTGCCCGTAGTAAACAGCTGCATCAGTTATGGTACCGGTCAGTTACTTTGCGTCACATAATCTCCCTCTTAGATCAAATTGAGGGCATATCTAAGGTTCGTCTTATCTTTTTTTTTTTTTTTTTTTTTTTGTTTTAATTTATTAATTTTTATATCTTTAGACAATACCAGGCTCAGGAGTATTGGGATTATTTCATTCAGTCAATAGTATTTGAACTCTTGACCGTGAAGTTAGCATTTGGGAGGGTGTGTCAACTGCGTTCTGCTCAATCCATTGTACTTGAGTTGCAGTTGTATTAGTTTGCTCATTCATATTCAAATCCATGAGCATGCATATGTACATAAAGAAATTGATGAGCATGTGTTCACGTATATTTTTATTTGAATTTTGAAATAATTTATTTAAACCCTGGCCTTTACAGCTCACGAGATAGCCGGGGGCCCGCACGGCGGGCTATTAGCTCAGTGGTAGAGAGCGCCCCTGATAACTGCATCGTTGTGCCTGGGTTGTGAGGGCTCTCAGATATCATGCAAACCCTATACTAATAGAATAGAACCTTACTCCATTTAATCTAATAAAAGTTAAATGTTTTTTAGTACACGCACACGCTCACAGCTTACAACTCATTACTTAGCAATGTAGCTTTAGATTTAACACATATGTTTTATGCTTTGATACATCTGTATTGTCTGGTATCCATACTTTTTCATTGAACTACGGGTGATAAAAATATTCCAACTGAATCAGCTTCATGCCTAAATGTTTCATTTCATCTATTATCTGGTCAAAATGTGGCTCAGGTTCCAGCTCGGATAGAGAAGCTGATTGCTGAAAAGCAGTATTATGCTGCTGTTCAATTTCATGTTCAATCAATGTTGATGCTTGAAAGAGAGGGGCTTCAAACGGTAGGGTGTTTTATATTAAAAGAATAAAATGTTATCTTCAAACAGTACATTTGTCAACTACTTTATTTGTTTTTAAATTGAAATTTGTACGTAAATGTTTTTCCTACTCTTTTATGGTGGCTTGGTTGAAGCTTTAGTTTTATCTAACTATACTAGATCCTAAAACAGTTTGTCCCATTTTATTCTCAAGTTTCATTATTGCCGGTTGGTTCAGTAATAATGGTGTCAACTTCAAGGTTCAATCTTTTTCTTCATCCAATATATCATAGCGTTTCACCATTTTTCTTTTTTATATTTTTAAATTGTTAGCTTCTCTGCACCACAAGGTGTGGGGGAACTATTTTAATGATATTAGATATTGAATTATTATCTGGTTGATGCGTCCTTAAAGGTGGTGCATCTGACACTAACGGTTCTTGAAAATATCAGAAAAAGGCCTTTAATAGAAATTCACACTCTCATTTTCTTCTTCTGGATGCAATATAGCTTTTGAGGAAACCTTTAGTGAATTTATGATTTGGTAGTTATAATTGATTGGCTCAGGTCGGTGCCCTTCAAGATGTTCGCTCTGAGTTGACAAAGTTGCGAGGAGTTCTGTTTTATAAAGTGCTAGAGGATTTACATGCTCATCTTTACAACAAGGGTGAATATAGGTATTTACTTGTGTTTTGACGTTTTTTTCCTTTTGGTACCTTCATATACTTAGCATCACTTTAAAAGTAGGACCTTCTAGAGGAAAAAATGAAGAAAATTTTACTTTATTGCTTTCAGTTGATTTGCATACTTATGGGGTGGCTGGGATGTTCTGGGATTTAGGCATTAGAGGATTTGTTTTCCATCTACTGCTTTCTATTTCATGTTAGCTGCACACTTTTTTGTTCCTGCTGCTGTGACAAACTATAATTATATGAAATTGTGATGATTTTATAGAACTCTACTTCTCTGGGAGCACTCGTCTTCGTCTTTTGGGGAAATTGATGATTGATCAATTTCTAGCTTTGTATTTTTCTTTTTATCCTGTGCAATACTCTCAAAAGCTATTTCTCATATATATTGTCCTTGTGCTGATTCTTTCTGCAGCTCAGCTGCTTTAAGTTTGCAAGAAATGGATGATGAGGTACCAACCACCACAGCTACTGTATTTTCACTGAGTAATTCACAATCCCTGTCTCGAAGAACCAGGCTGTTAAAAGGTGACAATCAGTTCGGTAATCAAGGAGATGGATCGTATAGGACAGGTTCTGTTGATGGCAGGTAAGATTATTATCGCATTATTATTGCATGCTGGGTTTTTCCTTCAACCTGCATTATTATCGCATTATTTTCATTTGAAAATTATATCACTTGCAAGTTGTGGATTTTTTTGTTTATACTCTCTTCTAGAATCAAAGTAAGTTCACAATGCCTCAAATTCTTATTGGACATTTTATCTGCTGCTGCATTATTTTATGTGGTTAATTTCTTCAAGACCCTCCTGGAGGTTTGTATATTGGTTAGGATATAATAGTATCCATCTTCAAATAAGAGGAAGGTTCCCCATGAGTTCAATATGTTGGAGAGAATATATTTTAGGCTTTTTAGCCAAAGTGATCCCTGAGATTTGCATAACTCCTCACTTTGGTCCCTGAGATTTGAAATCAATAGAAGTGGTCCTTGAGATTGTCCACCATCAATCATTTTGGTCCTTTGATGAAAAATTATGTTAAGTAAGGATCAAAATGATTTGACAAAATTTGAGGGTATTTTTGTCATTTTATCCTTATTTAATAGAGATATTTCAGAGGACCAAAATGATTGATAGTTGACAAGCTCAAGGATCAATTCTATCAATTTCAAATCTCAAGGACCAAAGTGAGGAGTTATGCAAATCTCATGGACCATTTTGGCTAAAAAGCCTATATTTTATTGGCTGTTGAGTACCCATTGAAAGTAGTCTTTGGAAAGAAGTTAAAAAATGTCACTAGTGTTTTTATAGTAATGTGTGGCTACTCATGGATAGGCCTCCATGATTTTCTACATAGCCTTTTTGCAATATTCTTTTTACATCTTTTCGATTGAAGGTCATAATCTTGTATGGATGAATTACGTTTATAGTTGGAAGATTGAATTCTTAATATTATTATATTGTGGTTTTCCTTTGGTAATTCTACATCTAAATTCTGAATGTTTCAGTTCATCTTTTGATGGCGTTGATGAGGAGGGCACTTTGGAACTGCATGATGAAGCTACCTCAGATGGGCATACTTCAGTGAGGATCAATGGTGATGTCAAAATTGTTCCTCATGATATGCCAACATGGCTTCAGTATTCCACTCCGGATGAATTTCTTGTATGACAACTGTGATTGTTCACATCTCATGTTGCCTTTTGAATGAATTTCTTTTGTGCTGAAAGTTCTGGGGTTTTTATTTGGATGTAGGAAGCAATAAAGAAAAGTGATGCTCCACTTCATATCAAATATTTGCAGACCATGGTTGAGTGCCTTTGCATGCTAAGAAAAGTTGCAGCTGCTGGTGCTATAATATGGTTTGTTATCTGGTTTTACTTTTACCTCTTTTGGTTGGTTGTCTGTTGTATTTCAAGAATACTTATCAACTTATTTGATATTTTGTTCTTACCCATAACAGCCAAAGATTGCGACCTACAATTCATGAGATCATCACATCCAAGATTAAAGCTCATGCCGAGCTTCTTAATTCCTCAAGGTCTGGGATTGGGCAAGCTTCACGAACTGCTACAACTGGCCTACATTTTATGAAGGGACAGTTACAAAGTTATCAGTTGCCAAAACAGAAACGTCAGAATGGGATATCACTGTCTGGAACTCTATTGGCAGTAAGCCCTGTCTCACCTGTGATGGCTCCTGCAGGGAAAGCACAAGCCGCAGCAAAAGAACTTCTTGATTCAGTTTTGGATGCTGTTGTTCGGATATTTGGTGCGATATTTTTTCAGTTTTTAATGTGTTCTTTATTCTATTTTAGGTTTTTAGTAATGTGCATATACATATATGTATTTAACAATGAAACTAAAGTCTCCTAATATAATTCTTTAGAGAACCATGTTGTTGTTGGGGAGCTTTTGGAATCAAAGTCCTCTGTTGACATGAACACGCCAAAATCAATGCCAACAGATGTAAATCGGAATACTGATTTAGAAGCATCTCAAGTTACTGGAGGCTATAGCATTGGTTTTTCCTTGACAGTATTACAGGTAAGCTATCTGTTTCAAGTTTTTAATGGTTAAAAAATTCCACATGGTGCATCCCTTATAGGAAATTCTGTGCAGTGACATGCATGGCAGTTCTAAAACTTTCTTTATTTTTCCCTTTTTCTTTTCATGTGTTAAAGAGTGAATGCCAACAACTTATTTGTGAGATTCTGCGGGCAACTCCTGAAGCCGCATCTGCTGATGCTGCTGTACAAACAGCTAGACTTGCAAACAAGGTCCCTTCCAAAGACAAGAGGCAAGGAAATTGGTTTCATATTCCATCTAACTATATATTGCTTGATAGTCTGGTGGTTTTCTAGTTAAAAAACTAATGAAAGCACCACCAGTGGGCAGTGGTTCAAAAATGCTTGAGATGTTTTCTCGACTACTTTAATCTGTGGGTGCTCTTCATTTTAAAGCCAATCCTTGGGTATGCAGAATGAAACACATGGTTAAATGAAACATTTGTGACTGGTTGGAAAATTTTAATCCACCATAAACGCCAAAGGTTCATGTATCGTTGTATAGATATGATGTCACTTGTGACATTAGGTCCCTCTTCTTACTCTTTGGGATATATCTCCTTTTGCGAGGAGTTACTATGTACTTATGCCTTTTTTCATGATGATGGGTTACAGGGATGGTGCAGAAGAGGGTCTGACCTTTGCTTTTCGCTTCACAGATGCTACTATTTCTATGCCCAACCAAGGTATGCTTGATTATTCTCCTGCAGTATTTAATACCATCTAGAGTATTGATAAGTCGAATAACACCATGCAGTAATAATTAAATATACTCTGTCTATCCTGGTTAGAATCTCAGCCTTATCTGATGGATAGCGTCAAACTATGGCAGCCTTATTTAGTAAATGTGAATGTTATGATTATTGCAAGGGTTCATGGACCCTTTACTTCACCTTGTTGCTTGTACCTGTGTCAATAAGACATGACACTGTTAACTGGTAAGGGTATGTCAGTAGGAACTGCTGATGCATTGAAGACCTTTGGAGAAATACAAACCCTGATATACTTGGGTGTGGACCCTCAGCCCCTCACATGATTTTCATAATCAAGTTCATGTAGCTTTGATAGCTTTATAAATTCCTTTAGAAATGAGTTCTTTCTGTGTACTTAGTTGATGAGCTACTTGTTAGTTGTTATGCATATGAGAAACATAAAATGCTGATGACAGAAGATTTTTACTTCTGAGGTTCTCATAGAGCCCTTTGTTTTTCATGATAGACATGATACATTTTGTTTGATATGTGTTACTTCAGAGGTACTGATATAGTCTTATTGAGCTTGTCTGATGTGTGTTCAAGGTTACTCAATAAATTAGTGCATTGAATTCCTGGTTGTGTCATAAGACCTGTATGTCCAGGCCCCAATAGAATTATTGCTTTAATCATTTATTGTGTTTATGTTTCTCATATTTCTGGAGATTACCATGACCATGGAATACAAGGGAGGATTTTTCCAACTCTGAATCATCTGATTTATCATTGTTGTGAATATCACGTTTTAAGAATGGAAAAAACAAGACAAACTCAGGAAACTGAAAACAAATAATCAAAGATAAATTGCACCAAGAGTTTACGTGGTTCGGCTATTTGCCTACGTCCACAGGGCAGCAACAACAAACTTTCACTGTATCAATAATGAGTACAATGAATAATCTTGTCAAGCCTCTAGAAATAAAACTTGATGAAAAATCTGAAAGAACAAGAGCAAGAAATACACACTTCTCTCTTTTCTCTCCTCTCGGACGCACTTTGCCGTTACAATATTCTTTCACTCTAACTCCTTGAGTGGTATACATCTTATTGTTTTTTCCACATTCAAAACTAGTGCAATAGCCCCTTTATATAGATATAATAGAAATTGTCTTCAATAAGGTATACTAATCCTTATTGGCATATAGTTATGAATCCTTCTCCAGTTGAGAAACCAACTCCATTTGGGGAAACCACTCCATTTGGGAAAACAATTTAATCCTCTTAAGACTATAATTCCTAATAGACTTAGGACAACTCAAATGGGCTGGGAAAATACAACATTCATCACCTCAAGAATTTCATAGAGAGACCTTAGATCACTATCACTTTTCTTGTATAATTGAAATGCTCCATTGTATGTAAGTTGTCGGTTTTTCAAAACCATTTCTTTATGGCGTTTGATGTCACAACCAATCTTCAAGTTGGAGTGTTTTGTTCTATCTACTGAATAAATTACATACTTCTTAAGGGTGCTTTTCTAGTTTAAAAACTTTCTCAATAGGCTGTTGGTTTCATAAGTTATATTTCTAAATTCTTCTAGATTCAAAGTTTCTTCAGCTTTCAACGTGTTGCATCTGGCATTTCTATTAGTTAGTAACATGTTACGGTGGTCTGCATCTTCCATTCTCCAGGGGCTGATCTCATTCGTCAAGGCTGGAGTAGGAAAGGTCCAAACGTTTCACAAGAAGGTTATGGGTCTGCAGCTATCTTGCCTGAGCAAGGCATATATCTTGCAGCATCTGTATACCGGCCTGTTATTCAGGTTTTACGATTGTTCTTAATCATGTCTTTAAACATGAGCTTTATGATCTGTACACAGTGGTTCGTCTTTTGACCTTTTCTTACTTTATGTGCTCTTCAGTTTACAGATAAGGTTGCATCAATGCTTCCTAAAAAGTATTCCCAGTTAGGGTAAGCCTCACAATCATATTACTCTTTTCTTTGTAATTGTGCATATCACTTTATGTTTAACAGCAATGGGGCATGCTATTTGTTAGTTTCTTTCACTTTATTTCCATTTTGTTGCTTAATCAAATATTACTTGGCATGGGAAGGAAATATGCTGATAGAAGAAAATACTTTTGAACTTTAATCTGAACTTCTGATCCTATTTCTGTAATTAGTCTTGTTGATGAGTTATATAAATACTAGCCTCTTGCCACAAGCGTAGCCACATGCCTATGTGTGTGGCAATTGGCTCTTTTTTATTGTTTTACATTTATTTTTTAAATTTTATTGTTTTACATATTTTTTTTTATTTTAGTTATTTTAGATATTATTGTTTTTATTAATATATTTTGAAAAATAATGAACATAATCTGTCCAGTAACTGTCATGTATGCATTGCTCATCCGTCCACCAGAAGGGATCCAATTCAGTTGTGCCATTGCCAACTAGATATTGATAGCTTATAGTTCTGAATAGTCATTTGTATATATGTTGTCTCTATCAAAAAAAGGAAAAAATTTATCACTTTTTGCAGTCACCTTTCATATGTCCATATTGATGCATGAGTTTCGGTATTTTACTTTGGATAGGCAGAAGTATGACAACCATCAAATATGGTCAAACACACGAGGGAATGGGTGGCGAAATCTTTTCCTGCTTAGTCACAATGATATGGACTTAGCTATTGTAGGGGCTACAAGGAGGAATATGGGTTTGAAGTTTTGAATGTCTCAGGCATAAGTTGTAGTCTCACTAACCCCACACATATAGGTTCAAATATAGTAATCCTTCAAAATTGGGACTCTTGCTGTTTGAAGTTGGTTATGCTTATGGTTAGTGAACTACTGGTCCTGTGATCTGTTTGCTTATTGATCCACAGATGAGTTCGGTTCATCTTCTTTGTTATCTTCATATTTTTTGTTATTGTTATCATGAATTTGGTTATTACATTTCCTCTTCTTTGTTTCCATTTACTTTTTTGGAAAAAATTGTAATATTAACTTCTGAATCTGCAGTAATGATGGATTGATGGTTTTTGTGGAGAACTTTGTGAAGGACCATTTTCTTCCCACGATGTTTGTGGACTACAGAAAAGGCGTACAGCAAGCTATATCAAGCAAGTTCTATAACTAATTATTCTACAGTGATCTTGTTTATTCTTTTTATTTTCTTGCATGGCATGAAACTAGGTCAATTAAATGATTTCACTCATATGTGCCCTAAAACCTAATAAAATTTCCTTTTGAAAAAAATGTAGATATTTATATTTAATGATACTTAGGTGTAAGCTATATATCTTTAAGTAATCTTACCCAAGTAAGAGGTTGGAGGCTCGTGCACTTTGTATAATTACTGTTTGAATCCTGTAGACATGCAGATTATATTTTATATAGAGTTTCTATGGCATTGACCTTTCAGTATGGAATGACCATGAAAAGCGGAAGACTTTCATTTTCTTGGGAACTTTCAATGCAACCCTAACAAAATGGACGTTTAAAAATTAAAACATATTCATAGGTACATGCTTGCCTCGGACACCATTTCTGTAAACAATAAGGAATTCCACTATTACTGCCTCACTCATCTGGAGCATTGAACAAAAGTTTTCTCATACATAACAGAACAGTCACATCATTTGCACTAAAAAAATCTGATTTTGGGAAGCCTTTGAATTCTTATAGGTCCAGCTGCATTCCGGCCCAGAGCACATGCTGCTGCATCTTATACGCCTTCAATTGAGAAGGGTCGACCTGTCTTACAGGGACTGTTGGCAATAGATTTTTTAGCAAAAGAGGCAAGTTTGAACTTTTCCTTAAGAGAATTTCATTTATAGTATTGCAGTAGTGTCTCTCTGCTCCACTGCGGATGATTCTTTTTTTAACATTGTGCTCAAGTTATTTTAAATATATGGACAAATAATCTTGTTTGAAATTATTTACTCTAGGTGCTTGGTTGGGCACAAGCTATGCCTAAATTTGCCGTTGACCTTGTGAAGTATGTGCAAACTTTCCTTGAGCGAACCTATGAACGATGCCGGACGGCATACATGGAGGCAAGGATGTTTCCCTTCTCACTCTCCTATTACCTTAGCGCAGCAGTATTATTTGTAGATATGATATATTCTGAGTCTACTTGTTTTGCTTTATGTTAATGTTTTGAGTATTTATTTTTCTTCTGGATTTGGTTGTTTCAAGCTTCTATAGCAAAGTGTCTTCTCCTTTCCTTTCAGAAAGAGAAGTACAGTTTAGCGGACAAGCACTATATTGACATTATTTTTACAATATGCAATGGCCATAGAGTTATAGGATTGATGGCAACCATACATTAAAACATAGATTTAATTACTGCAATAGTTGCTATATTGTAAGACTTGAGATGCCAACTGTCAACAAATATAAATGTCAACAATGTGACAGTGATTTTCACAATTTTTCATTTGTAGGTTCTTGAATTCTAATCAGTACCCTGAAATGTAGGTGGCACGTGCCATGATAATTGATTTTATAGTTTAATCCAATGTTTGGTATTCTTCAGGCAGTTCTGGAGAAACAGAGCTATATGCTTATTGGAAGACATGATATTGAGCAGTTGATGCATCTTGATCCAGCAAGTACATGTTTACCAAATTCCTTTGGTCAGTCAAACTTCGAAACCCATGCTTCGGATTCTGAAAGTCTTGAGGTTGAATTACAATTAAGCGACTTATTATTGAATTTGCGGCCTATTAAGCAGGTATTTCAGTTGCCAGTCTGATGTTAAAAGTTTTTTTCTACTTAAATGATAAAATTCTTATTGTTATCATTTATTGTTTATATTTTATCAGTAAAATATTTTAGACTAACTTCTCTTCAGATCTTGTAGTAGTGAGGCCTTGCTGACGAAGTAATTGATTAATTCATTGAATTTTTAGATTATGGATGGATTGACTTTCTTTTTCAACTCTGCCTCTCACAGGATAATCTAATTCGTGATGATAACAAAATAATTTTGCTGGCTTCCCTTAGTGATTCATTGGAGTATGTTGCAGAGTCTATTGAAAGGCAAGTTCTCATCCGGTTGCAGTCTAGAATTTGTTTTGGATTTTCTTTTATTACATCAGTGCGGTATTTAAGTGATTACATAGTGGACAACAAGAAACTTGTTAATTTATTTAAAAAGCAGCAAGATCCTAATTTTAATCCCTATGCTTTCCTCCATATGGCAATGAGTTGTGTTATCCGAGACTAATGTGGCAACGAGTTCTCTTATGTAACAAGTTTTCATGAAAACAATCATGCATTTCGTGTGATGCTAATGAAACTGTTTGATGCTCCTTTCCTCGAAGAAAATGCAATGCATGCCCACAAAATTATGTTGCTTTCATGGATGCAAAGATTCAGTTTCAGGAGTTTTTCTTTTCACTCCCTTGTGTGTGAAGTTTATTATTTATTTTCAGAAGTTTCTACAACCCCCTTATTTTTTCTGATCTTTGTTTTTAACTTGTACATGTCCAGTTTCAACCTTAAACATGGAATCTTTTTTATGCTTTTATTCAGTTTGACTTCCTACATTTGTTACACATTTATCCATGATAGATGAACGAGCACAACTTTTTTTCACTATATAGGCTTGGGCAGACAACCTTCAGATCTCCAAATCAAGTAGAAGAGAGTGGTAAGAACCATCATCAACGAACAACTAGTGATGCTTCTAGGGATCTGACATCATTTGCAGATGAGTATAGAAAATTGGCGATTGACTGCCTCAAGGTTTTACGTGTTGAGATGCAATTGGAGACGATTTTCCATATGCAGGTATGTGATGTTTAGTTTGCAAATACTGTCTCACCTGAGAGTGATACCTGTTAGAATTGTCCTGTAATAAACATAGCATCGGCAGACTGAAAATTGTGGTTTAAACAGGAAATGACAAATAGGGAATACATGGAAGACCAAGATGCAGAAGAACCAGATGACTTCATTATTTCACTTACTGCACAGGTCGGTATATTCATCTCCAGCGTAAGCAGATGGGAGACATTGGATAAATTATACTTTTTTTCTCTTGATGTGGAGAGAGATACTAAACAAGAATTGTAATACACCACTTCTTTCTTAAAGGATATTTATTTTAATTAAAAAATATTAATTTTTTATGAATCAGTAAATTCTGAGTACCACGTTCTCTTCTTACATAATATTTGGGTTTCTTTGCCCATAGATAACACGCAGGGATGAGGAAATGGCACCTTTCATTGCAGGAACAAAGCAAAGCTATATATTTGGTGGGATTTGTAGCATCGCTGCAAATGCATCCATCAAGGTTTGTACTTTTTTATGAAGTCTCTGACTCTTATGTTAGATTGTTCATGTTATCCATCTACCAGCATTCCAGTTTGTAATTTCAGATATTTGCATTCATATATGCATATATATTTATAGTCCCTTTTTCAGAATCTCATGCCAACGTCTGGTTCAAGTGATTCAGCTGTTAAATTGGTGCTTGTTAAGTCATCCCATCTAAAGCATCATGAATACGTGCATTGGAAATGTAAAAAGGCTTCATTTTCTTAACAATTTTTGCTGTATTTTATTATCTTCTCTGAACTCCTTGATTCATCCACCATTGCAAGCAGGAATTGTGCCGAGAAAATATTCCATTGCCTTACAGTACCTTCTTTGCTTTTTGTTGCACCGTCATTGAAATCAGGGCTCAGGAATTCATATATGTATTCACCATCACCCATTTTATCCATTTAGTGATTGAAATCCAAAGAACCGTATGAGAGAAGGCTTCTTTATAATGTGCATTTTATCTATTCTGTCAGACCAAAAATCTTTTCCATCTGTTCACTGCTAAATGCTGATGCGAGATAATTCAATCTTAACAGGCTTTGGCTGATATGAAATCAATCAACCTTTTTGGCGTTCAGCAGATTTGTCGGAATACAATTGCGCTGGAACAGGTAAGTCATTTTCTAATCCATATCTGAATTGCTTAATTCATTTCTTAAATGCTATATCTATTTGATATATCTTACTCTGTGTTAAGCCCTTATTCGAACACTCCAAATATTACTGTGACAAGGCTTTCTGGTTCCGATCTTGAAGTTACAAACGTTACCGCATTTAATAATTATTGTTGGCACTGCAGGCCCTGGCCGCTATCCCATCAATTAACAGTGAAAGTGTACAACAACGACTAGATCATGTCCGAACTTACTATGAACTCCTAAACATGCCATTCGAGGCAAGTCATTGGTACTACATTTTTTGTTTTGCTCTATATTTTGGTTTCCCCATGGTGATCAATATTTTTCACCTATTTGTTTGCAGGCCTTGCTAGCTTTCATCACAGAGCACGAGCACTTGTTTACGACTACAGAGTTAGTCGACAAATCTCTCTTACCTATACATATCATGGTCGTAGTAACTTGTATAGCTGCTGGATAACACGTTACATTTCTCTTACAGGTATGCAAATCTTCTAAAGGTCCAGGTTCCAGGAAGGGAGATTCCTGCCGATGCTCTAGATCGTGCATCACAGATTTTATACCGTTAGCCTTTTTCAGATTTATTCTCTCTTTTCAAGATTAAAGAGTTCTGTGCTGTGGAAAAGGTGGTAGCATCTACGTAGTGTTGGTCATTCTCAAAATGGCGGATGCAGCGAAAGCAGATACAAGAGCGAATTTTGTGGAAGTTGCCGGCCAACATGGCACACCATGTTGTGTCAAATTTTTTTTGCCGAACTGTATAATGACGACAAGGGTTCCATTTTTCGTATTGTTCTCATAATTTGTTCATGTGTAGTATCATTTTTTTTGTATTTTCGTTTGCAGTGTGTAACAACTTAATGCTTAGTGTTGGTTGGGAAGAAATGAAAGCCGATATAAATTTTCGTGGTCGTTAATAATAGTAAGTCGTTTGTATTGATTCTCAAAAGCGTCCGTTTATCCGAGGGCGAGGACGGGGCTACAGCTCTGCCCGTTTCATCGTTTAGTTTATTTCGGGTTATGTTCGGTGAATGATTTCAGTTGTTTCAACTCGGAGAATGATTTCGGGTTATGCTCTGGGAGGTTGTGACCCAAATTTGGTTTCGAGTCTGGGCAATTCCGCTTTCATTTACTAATTTTTGCCCAGAAACGACCGTTCTATGAAACAGAGTATCTCCAAGTATCAGTTTTAAGTTATTCTTTTTATACAAGCGATATTCAAGGAGGGTGAATTGAACACGAGACCTCAGATTCGGGTTTTTATATCTCAGAGCAATGTCTCCGAGATGCTATTTGGCTAGCTATGATAACAATTGCCCCTTGTGATTTCTCGAAACGTGCATATATTAGGCAAAAGTAGGATACTTCATTCGCGATTCAGTTGATGAAAGTTACAACTCAAACAACAGAAGCTACAAAACAATGAGATTTTGTACATTTCACTATTCACCATGCATCTGATTGTAAAATTTTGGATTCACTCTCAGCGCCTTCTTCGCTAAGTTTCGGATATCGTCCCGACTGGATTCAGCCGATATTCGAATAATCTCTTGCAGCCCTCCACTGGATATGAAATCCCTTGCATTGTCCTCTGCACCAACAACAGATAAAATTACTGTCCAAGTCATCCTAAGCATCTAAGTTTCCACAAATTCTATGCATGACTAATGACTAAAGCATATCATAATACTCTCAAAAACTTTGCGGAACGTATTCGCTATTAGTTGTCCGATTAACGTGAAACATGTAAAATTCTCAGTCAAAAATGGCCAACCCAGACAGAGCTTACCGTTTTGCGCTAAATGGCAGAGAGCAAGCTCGATGTGGCGTTGGGTTGAAGTTGACATGGTGTTGGAGTTGATGATCAACCAGGTAAGGACACCATCGTCCATCAAAAGTGAACGGCCTTTTCTATGTCCTGCAAATGTAGAGCTTAATATTGAATACAATGCAGCATGATACATGTACACAGCCACAAAAAGGACTGCTTCGACCAACCTTGAATAGTTCCGCGCGATTCACATTTTGCAAAGTTAGCCAGTCCTCTAGCAACCTGTGCAATGACTTCACTACTCCCCGACTTTGCCATTCCCAAGAGTGCCTTAATTCCTCCATCTTCCTTCAGCATTGTATGTAATCTTTCTGTAATTAACAAAAACTATGCATGATCTCTCATGCTAATAACCTTCAACAAGATGCGGCTCCATCCGTTTAGACGTAAAATATATTGGGATATGTTGACACGTTGAGTACACAATCTATGCAGCAAAGGAATGAACCTAAAACTCGAACAAAATAACTCTAAACCATCTAGTGCTTACCATTTCCACATAAATTAGCGAGTGCGCCAGCAACCATTCTAAGAGTTTGTGGATCATTTGTGTTGCTTGCTGTCTCTGCGAGTAGTTGAGCTCCACCTCTGCTCATAATTAGGCCTTGATTTACCTCTGAGAAGAGTTAAAAGAGAGACAAAAATCGAAAGAAGAGGGGATAAGTAAATAAAATTAAGAGAATGATCAAATATTCCACATGAAACCACCAAGTTCTTTCCCCACCCCCACCCTGATCCTTTTACTGCCTAGGGTCTTGCTTTCCCCAGAACTTGGGAGTCATTTTCACCGACTTACTAAAAGACCCTTAGACCCAAGATAACAGGAAATACATTGAGTTTTGTGGTTGTCAAAAATATATGTGGTTACATGTTCATAAAATCAGCATCTTTGATGGTATGCGCTTAATAATCAGATTGGTTTGCATTTACCACAACCAACGTAGTCTAAACAAGGTTTTTAAAGCAAAGTCTATATGTGAAAAAGATGACCAACGGAAGGCAGTGAAGGATTGTATCCTTACTAACTAAAATGCACAGGAAAGATGAAAATGGAATCAGAATTACCATTCATTGCCAAATTGGCAATGGCCCCAGAAGCAACTCTAAGGATAGTTGTATTCTGTGAAGATCTCAACAGCGCAAGCAAAGCATCTAAACCGCCTTCCTCAACAATCTTTGCCTGATTAGTATCTGAAATAAAAGAAAATCTTAATTGGTACAATTGCATACACAACTAAATCCTCATTCTAATTGTATACACAACATATGCCATAGAATATCACTTTATGTAAAAATCGAAGTGGCATACATCAGTTTTAAAATAAATTTTTTTTTCAGTAGACTGATTTTCCGATGTCAATGTAATTACTAATATCACGTCCATCTTTAGCACAGTAGTAGTATCACCTCCTTGGAACGGGGATGAAAAGTATGCATTTATCCACTAATATAAATAGACAATACAGGAAAGTGCATACCTTCAGCTGCAAGGTTGGCAACCACCTTCACAGCATGGGTTTGAACATCTATATCTTCGGATGTCAGCAGTTGTAAGATCTTTTGAAGCCCAACTGAATTTATGAAGTAAATTGTCAGCCGAGATATATCATTAAGTGGAATTAGAAAAGGGAAAGATAGATAGTTCTCAAAACTTTATGAGGCCTTAATATATAATAAATCTTGCCTTCTTCGCATATTTTTGCAATGGTGGCCCTCTGACCAGAAATTGAATCCCTTGATGGATTCGAATTGTGTAATCCCATTGGATTCCCAAACGCAGAAGACCCTTTATGTATATTTTCCTTCATATATGACTTCTTGTCCTGGAGAATTTTCCACTGTAAGACATTATATTTGTTGAACTGAAATTTTTTTAAATGCATAAGCAACTCACCTCAAACTCATCTTCTTTCTCCAGTGCAGCCTTCTTTAATTTGATTAGCTCATTCTCTACAGACTTCCTCTGCTTCTCTTCAATTAAAAGTCTTTGCTTCGCATCTTGAAGTTCTTCCTTGAGTCTTGCCTTAATAGTCCCAATGATATAAAATATCGCAAACTATTTAGTAAATCACACTTAACAGACTACTAAACTCATGGCAACTGTAGGAGCAATTGCATGACCACAACCGTAAATATATTAGTCTACATTTTGTGCGAATAGAATATTGAACCATACTTGTTGCATTTTATATGTCAACATACCTTCTCTTCTGAGAGATCAGTATATTCTGATTTCAAGGACCAATATTTGTTTAGAGTTTGTTCATGTAGCTGATTCATTTCTTCTAACTGCACTGTAAGTTCATCAATCTCTTTCTTCCCCTGGATTTTAAAACAAAATACAACTTACTGTATGAAAAATGTGTGCAAAGGAGCCTTGAATACGAACAATCGTTTCACCACATTTAGAGAATTATTAATTATCACAACAGGAGGAATAAAGGCAGATAGTAGTTGCATAGAAACTTTTCCCAGCTCAAAATGAAGTGATATATTACTACGAAGAACGTAGGGATCAATTTTTCTTTTTGCCTATATAAATGTTAAAGGAAAAAAATAAACAAAGAATATCACAGATACATGATAATAGAAGAACACTGGACTCTTCCACGCCCATGAAACATCACAATGAGCTCATTTAGTAAGTTTTAGGAATAAATTTAACCTGCATTGAGTTTTGACGGTTACGTCGTTTCTTCTCCACATCCAACTGCTCTCCTAGATCTTCAAAACGGGCATGCTCATTTTCCAATTGGTCCATTAACTCAGCTATTTTTTTCTCATACATCTGAGTAGTGTCTGCAAGTGCTGATTGATATGCAGAATTTTCCGTCTGATGTTGCTACAAAAATGAAGAAAGATTACGGTTGGTACTCACGTTGCGATAACTTGTACTAAAATATTAGCTTCCATTATTTAGAACTGAAAAGAAAAGACTATAAATAAAAGGTTGAAGTTTAAAATTTTCAAATAAAAAGGTGGCCATGATTAGGAAGAAGAGATAATATTTAAATAAAAAAAGCATGCCAAGGGTATTACAGATAACTGTTAGAATTAAAGATGACAAAAGAAGGTCCCGTTTTAAATGCATAATGAGCTTACCTGAATAGCCTTTTGGCCGTCAGTCAGAAGCTTCGTTGTTTCATCTAACTGTTTCTCTGTGCTTTCAGCACGAGCACACTCATCATCTAGCTCCTTAATCAACTTTGCTATTTTCTCTTCATACATCTGAGTGGTATCAGCTAATATTTTCTGATACATAGAACTTTCAAGCTGGTGTTGCTACTAACAGGCAAAACAACACTATAAATGCCATGCTCATAAAGGACAAAATATTTGATTATGAGAACAGTAATGTGTTTACATATGTTTGAGCGTGTGTGTGCATGCGTATAACTCCTGCCATATAACTGATTTACTAGCCTACATTTTGGTGTACTGTTATTCTAAAATTCTAAGTCGATGCACTGGCCACAAGAATGGTGATACCAACATTAATAACCTGTATAGCCTCAGCCAGATTGACTAGGAACCAACTAGACGAATAGTCATTAAAATGAAACAAAATTGCAAGGCAATGGAGCTGTGGTAATGTAGCCGTTACAGTATCAATGCTGGCGCACTGGATCTCAAAAAAGGAAATACCTTGCCATGTTCTAAACTTGCTTCAAGTTTTGCAACTTTATCATGCATCAGGTTACTGTGTTCTTTCTCATGGTTCAGTTTATCTGAAAGATCTTTCAGATCCAACTCCAAACGAGTATTTTCCTTCTCCAGAAACTGCATGTAAAAAAGAAGTATTAGATGGAGGGAATGACAGACCAACCCTCATAACAATAGGCACAACAAGAAGATGACTAGATGAAAATTCATCAAAATGAAATGAAAATAAAAAGGCAACATTCTTTCACCGAGTCTTCAAAAAAGAAGTACCTCTCCATGTTCTAAACTCGCTTCAAGCTGTGCAACCTTATCATGCATCAGATCACTGTGTTCTTTTTGACGGTTCAGCTCATCTAAAAGATCTTTCAGATCCAACTCCAAACGAGCATTTTCTTTCTCCATTAACTGCATACATGCAGAAGATTAGAAGGAAAAAGCGTAGTATA